AAATTTCAAGAAAAAATAATTTTTTAAAATCCTCATTCACAGAGAAAGTAAAATGAATACATGAAAGAGTATATTGTAGAAAGTCTTTGGATGTGAAATTACCTTTCCAAAACTGCCCTTCCCAATTACTTTCAAGAAGTGAAAGTCAGATGGTTTAGCATGAGGATTGGATGATGGACCAAGGTTGATTTGCTGAGAAGGACTTGGCTAGAAAATAAAACATTCTCTCTTAATATCATTAATTCAAAGAAATATGTCTATAATAAAGTACAGGCAATGAAAAAGATTTACAACTACAAATGACCAAGAGAAGTTACTAAAACACTGACAAACACATTCAAAATGACTTCACCCACACATCATCATTTAAAATGAGTACGAAAATTGTACAATCATGCTGCCACTAATACAATCATGCTGCCACTAACAGATAAAAATTTTAATGGAATAAGCCTTTAAAATAAAGAGTACTTACTGGAGGAGAAGGGTTGGCATTCATAAGCTCGGGCTCCTGAGGTTGGGAGATTTTCAAAATGGACTGAACTTCAGGGCTGTAGAGAGTAAAGGAACAATTTAGAAACTCCTAACTCGCCACTAGAGGGCACACCGACATAAACAGTGAACTTCTGATTCAAATGTTCCCGGACAATTCAGTAATTGAAGTTGAAAACATCCAAATAAACTACTTAAAGAAAATAGCTCAAGAAAAATGATAACCTAGTTAAATACAGAAATCAGGCTTGTCAGTGGCGATAGGTTGTGAATTAAATAAGACTTTTGGAAAAATTTATTTTACCTCGCCAGGACAAGCTCAGTTTTCAGATAATTTTAACGTTTACAACGTTTCCAATAAACGAGAACCGAGACTTCCCCGAGTGAAGTCTTTGATACAAGTCTTTTATCGCCTCCAATTCCCCCCCCCCGGAAACTTACTGTTTGCACGCATAGGAGTTATTGGCAATCTTCTGAATAAAGTCGTTCAGGCCCATCCTCCTCTGTTTCATGAAAGCTGTGGATTAAAGAGGAGAAAGAAACCTTTAGACCGTTTCCTAACGTCGGACGCCACACAAGCCATCGTTTCCACTTGGCGTATCCCAGGGTAGAAGCCCAGTCTTTCTCCTACACTCACCGATGAGAATCGCTACCATTCCCCTCATTCTGGAGTAAGTGAGGGTGCCTCTAGCAGCCTCGGTTTTCACCGTCATCGCCACTGACAGAGCACAGAGAACCTAGGCTGACGGGAGACCGGCTTGGCCAACACTGCGCTCGGGCGGCTCGGGCGCCTTTATAAGTACTGCGCCTCCGGGGGCGGGGCCTGGGCCACAATGAGGAAGCGCTGGGAGGCCCCGCCCCGGCCCCGCCCCCGCCGCCCCGCGGTTAGCCCGCGGCGCTGCAACTGGTGGCCGGCGGTAGGGTCCCCTACTAGCAGCCGAGCTCCGGGAGGGGGCGAGGCGCCTGGGGACCGCGTGGGGAGGGCGCGGGGCGGTTATCAGCCTTCCCGTCCGGAGAGGGCAGCGTCGGCCGAGGGGGCGGGGAGGGCTGCAGAGCCCGGGGTAATTTTCCATTTTTCCCATTTATTGGGTGAGGCAAGAAAAATCAGGAGAGCGGCGTGGTAACCGGGGTGGCTTTGGACCCCATCGCAGCCTCCTCACTGCTTCACCCTCTCGGCCCTAACCCCCGGCCGACCTCTAACATCCCCACCGGGGCCCCCCAGCCCTGGCTCCGCGGCGCGACCCGCCCAGAGTTACTTCTCGAGTGCAAGCGGCTTAGCGCCCAGAATCTGAGCGGGCAGAGTGGGTCCCGGGCGCCTGGCGCGGTCCCCCCCCGGCTCCCACCGCCCCGCCACCAGGACCTCCATCCCCAGCCCCTCTTTGAAGCCCGCGAACCGGGCAGTAGCCGAGCAACTCTGGCCAAGAAGCCGAGTCCCCAGCGGGACGGGCGGCGGCGCTTACCCAGTCCGCTCAGCAGGAAGGACTCGCTCCTTTTCTGCGCCTCGGCCCTCTTTTTGTGGCGGGGCCGGAGCAGCGACTCGAGCCGGGCCCTGGCCAGCGCGCCCTGCATCTCCCCCATGGGCAGCGGACTGCGGGGCGCAGCTAGCGAGAGGGACCGGCGAATACTGACGTTTCCTTGAAGGAGCCGCCGTGACTCAGGCCGGGCAAGATTTCCTGCCCCAAGTCCCAAAACAAACAAATGGCCCTTGTGCACGGCCGAGTCGCTTCCGAAAACGCCTTTTTTGTGCTTTTGGCCAAAACCAAGCAAGGCTGAAAAATCCCAGAACTTGGAAGAGGAGGAAGGAAGGAAAGAAAGAGGGAAGGGGGGGGGGGATTAGGAATGTGTAGGGGAGGGGGCGGAAATAAAATAAGTCTCTGCACTAAAGGGGGGAAAAGTACAAACTGCATTTCACTTTTTTTTCCTTAAAGTAATCTCTGAGAACATTCTGTCCGTTCCGCACATATTTTTTTTTCCTTACATTTTTAATCCCCGCCATGCCAAGAACACGTGAGAAGGTGGTAAGTGAGGGGAGCAGTGACTTCGCTTTGAACCGACCTGGGGTGACCCTGGCATCTTAGATTCCTCTTCCTCTCAGGAGGCCTGCTCCTCTCCCGCTCTCCCACCTGAAGGTCACATTGTATTGCTCTAAACCCCCTTTGTCCTCACATTCCCTACCCCTCCTTTGGTTTATCTCGGTGCTGACCCGAGTCGTTTGCCACCTCGCTTTTTCTCACAAGTTCCCATATAAACGAAGATCACTAATTCCTGAAAGATAAGCCCGGACACTCCGCTCCCGAAACAGAGAAGGGAGGGAAGGTGGAGGCGGCGGCTCTGGCACCGCAGGGCAGAGAGGCCGGTGCCTTACAGTAACCCCGGAATAGGGAGCTGAAGTCTGACTGCCGGCGCGAGGACGCGCGCCAGCGCTGGCCGGGAACCTAAGCACCGCGCCTGGACCAGGGGCAGGGAAGACGGCTAMATATTACCAATATTCGCAGCACCGGTACCTGGAGCTTGCTGGTRCTGTCTGCTGTGGCTGCCCTGCGGTGACCCCTTGCTGCCAAGGGCTCTGCTACTTTAGAGCTGACACACTCCAAATTACCAGCTGTCAAACCAGGAATAGCATGCGAAGCGCTTTTCCCTTGGTCTTGGAAAGGGGTTTGTTTTGCAGGCACAGCCTCCTTATTTGCCCTAATATGATCTTTAGTCTCAACAGCTTTTGGTTTGATCAGTTGGGACAGTCAGAAACTGGGAGGAGACTAGCATTCCCTCTCCCAGAGACTGTGGTTGGCAAATTTTGCTCTGCACCCACTTTTCAATAAAAGCATTTAGTATTGTCTGAAATTGATCCTCCAACCCAAAGCAAGGTGAATTCAATTGCAAATCAGGTTAACTGATCCAAGACTACTTCCCCATGCATGGATTCTTAAGAGCATATAACTTTGTTATAGGCAGCACCCCCCCTGTTGCAGGTCTCACCTCCCAGGGCTCATGCCAGCCCTGCTCAGACCCACCTTGTTCCTAATCCTCTTGAGCAGAGATTCCTGAGATCACCCAGAAACTCTAACCTTCACAAAGTTATTTGCTTATTTAAAACTTTAAGAAAACTTCCATCAGAGACCCTCCCCCACACACTGCCTCATGTACTTTCCCTATGCCAAGTAACCCCAAATCCTTAAAGCATCTGTTTTACCCACCCCATTATAGTTCTCAAAGAACAAACCTTTCCAAGGGGACTTAATAACCTCCTCTTTCATTCCTCGAGTTGCACAGAATATGAAGGCTCTGGATTCTTTTCTGGAGGCTAGAGAAGTCAGTTATGGCTGGAGTAGCCTCCCAGCAATGTGCCTGTGATAAGACTGRAAGCTCTGAGATGACAAGGGAGCATCAGACACAGGCAGCTGTTCTTGTTGTTATGAACCCCACTTTATATAAAGGGAATTTACATACAGGAAGGGAACAAGCTGCAAAGTTCAACACTGGGCCATTTATTCCCACTCCCCCTCCTTGCAACACCATCCAGAAGATTACAGTCATCAGCATCCTAGGTTTATTACACCTCCAGCAATACACACAAGAAACGTAACTTAACTGATTATCATCACAAATCAGTCCAGAAAAATTCAAAACACATGCACAGGATTCATTTTCTCAAAGAAGCTCTGTTGCATGCATTCCAGGATGGATGTGGAATTCAAGTTAGAGGACTCTAAGTGGATAGAGAAGAGGCACAACCATATATTTGTGGTTGGAACAGAAAAGGAACAGTCTGATGTGCTCCTTCCTCCCCCCTACCCTAATGTTCAGCTCTTGGAGACGGATGGTCTGCTAAACTTATCATTTAGCAGAGAGAATCAAGTTGTTGAGACTGGCTTTTCTTCCAACCGGATACCTGATGGGTGGAGCAGGCGCCCCCTGTTCTGTCCCAGCAACCTACTAAGACTTCCGAACAGGAAGGTGACACACGGCGGTGGTGGGGAGGGGAAGCGGGAGRACTGTGTGTGACGCGCCCGTTAACACTGCACAGGCTTTAGGTTGCCCTGTGGCCGCTATTCTGGCGCTTGATCTGTTCTTCCTTCCTGTCGCCAGCCTCTTTCTTTGGTCCAGATAGTCCTCCTACCGGGAGGGATCTGGCCCCTTCCCTGTTCCTCCCTGGTAGTGAAGTTGCCTGAGTCGCCTTACACTGCTGATTAATGCAACCTAGAGGGCGATCGTGTTCTCTGGGAGAACCACCTCAGATTCCAAGAATCCCCCCCACCACCACCACCGTTTGTCTCCGGATGTTTAATCAGTCCCAGAAAGTTTCTCCACAACGTCTTGTGCAGTCACAGAAAATACAGATGTCTTGATAGGAGACCTGCTAATTACCTCCCCAGTGCTCCCAAGCCAATCGTATCACATTTATGCCTCAGTGCGGGGGAAACCTGCAATCAAAACTCTGAAGGAAATGATGCACCAAGATATAAACTTTGCACTGAAACAAAACATTTTTCAGGGCATGTGTACTTTAATACTTCAGAAGATTGTTTCATTGCTTCTTTCCATTATTTCTCCTTAAGAATAGACTATAAAACCTTTACTAAAATATCTTTTTCCCCATTTAATTGAAAGACTCACCAATTACTATTACAACACATTAGAGGAAATAACCTGAAATATATTATTATAAGGATTCAGCTATACCTCCCTTGCACTATTTCTTAAGTGCTCTGTTAGTCTTGATTGTTCATTGATAATAGGGTAATATCATTGTTTTATATTGCTCAAAGTGCCACAAATTCTAGAACAATCCTATGCACAGTCTACGATCCCATATTTTTTTCTTCATTGGGTGATGCATATAGAAACCTTTCCCTAGAGCATCCTCAAAGAAACTACAGAGAAATACCAGAAAACATAATTATTACTCTAGAGAACAAGGGAATGGATCAGGTTTTGTTGAGGCTGTCACTAAATGCATGTGTTTTTAAATAGTATTCACTGAACAGAAAATGATGATGACAAGTGGTTTATTCATGACAGCTATTATGGACAAGTAACCAGCAATGGTGGTATTTAAATGTCTATTTACAGAACACAGGTTCTCTAGAGATTATTACCTTCCCTATTCATGACTGTCAAAATTGACATACATGAAGAAGAATGCAATATAGTAAGATAACTAAGAGAAGACTTTTTCTTCTTTTTTCTTTTGGCATGGGGGATTGAACCCAGCACTCTGCCACTGAGCTACATCCCTAGCCCTGGGATTTTTTGTTTGTTTGTTTGTTTGTTTGTTTTTGATACTGGGGATTGAACCCAGGCACACTCTATCACTGAGCTACAACCCCAGTCCTTTTATTATTTTTACAAAGCTGCTGAGAGTCTCAGATAAGTTGCTGAGCTCTTGACAAGGAAGAATGATAGACAGAAGCAGTGGGTCTATGACAGGCTGAAAACTCACTTTCTTTCCATCTTTGGAATGTTGCCAATGTCTGATTTAGCACAATCCAATCCAATGAAAGACAAAAAAAAAATTAA